TAGAAGTCCCTAACCTACCTATGTAACTAAATTACCTTATGCCCTAGCCTACCTATATAATAAATTAATTTTTAATTTCACCTACCTATGTTTCATTAACTTAACTCAAGACTCATGAAAAAGGAGAAAAAGGAGCAAAATAGAACATAACATACTACCACAAAAAACAAACATAATGTATGTATGTATGTATGTATGTATGAGCAACCGCTAAAGAACCCACCTAAAATTAAAAAAAATGCAAACATACAAACCACAGACAAACATATATAGCCGCGCAACTCTATATAAATCTATATAACTTTATATAATAAAATAAATAAAATTAAAAAAAATTAGATCAGGCAGACCGCTTCAAGCCTTAAGCGAGGCAGAATGCCTGATCTGATTTTCATGCTGTCTCAGCTCCTATTTATACTAGTTTCAACCATACATTCTCATCATTTCAATCATTCAGATCAGTAAAAAACTTTTTTAATGTATGTAGTACACTATTATACAGTCTTAACAACAATGCTAACCGTACTAAATTGACGTCAACGATCGAACGCCTTCGAAACATTCTGGTTGGCTGGTTGAATCTGCTATATTGCTTTTTATATAAACATATAATCTTATTAATTATTTGTATACATGGATTCTAGTTAATATATATATATATATATATATATATATATATATATATATATATACTAAAATTAATATATATATATATATATATATATTATATAAATTCATTAAAAAAAGCAGCAGTAATCAGTGCTACATATGTAGGCACGCAGTTCAAATTTTTCAGGGAGAATTCAAAATAGTTTGGGACCACTCTTTGCTTAACATCCAATTCCAAGCCGAGCCGAGCCAAGCTGAGCCAATATGCGTAGATTTAGAAGCGCTTTTATATTAAAATTTTGCTCGCTTTATATATAGTATATAAATTCATTATTGAAGCAACAGTAACCAGTGCTACATATGTGCGCACGCAGTTCAAATTTTTTTGAGAAAATTCCAAATAGTTTGAGACCACACCTAGCTTAACATCCAATTTCAAGACGAGCCAAGCCAAGCTGAGCCAATATGTGTAGATTTATAAGCGCTTTTATATTAAACTTTTGCTCGCTTTTTATACGAATATCCCAATATAACAAATTTTTCATCCTGATATATGATATTTGGTCAAATTTATTTGATAGGAATTGAATATAACCTTTATACAGGCTGATTAACTACCATCCAGTGAAATAACTACTGTTAACATGACGTCATTTCCCCCAACGATTTCGCAACGATATACCCATCCTATTTTATAAATTTTATTTGATGTTTTTTAATTAGTTAGGTCACAATCGTCATCATCATCGATATCGCAATGAAATCAAATTGAGAATTTTTTAAATTTAGAAAAAAGTATCTTTATTCATTTTATGATACTATTTTCTTCAATAAGATACTTTTTGAATTTTCTTGGTTACCGCGTTCACGCACGTTTTTCAAATTCCGTATGTAATTTACTCGTTTTTTAATTAAAAGAAAGTTTATTTGGGTATTTATTTAGTTCGTAATAAAAAAATTAAATTAAATATTATTTAATTTTGAAAATGGCGACTGCATCTGACGCTAATACTTCTACAAATTCTGGTGAGCTGACTGAAACAAGTGTAAGTTTTTTCAGTTTGTACTAAAATTTTAAATTGTAATAATTCGTTATTAATAATAATTAGAAGTTAAAATTAAATGTAATAAAATGTGTAATTTTTCATCCAGTTTTACTTTTTAGTTTTACATTTAAAATTTTTCAATTTATTTTATATATTATAAAATGTAAAATCTTTTAAGTTTAATTTTTAATTGTATTAATATGTTTAAATAAAAAAAAATCAAACTTCTATTTTTTTGAATCAGTCAAACAAAAAAATGTACACGTTACTGCCTGAGTATGAGTTGAGATTTGAGGTTGACAAAGCTGCTGGCTCTATTACCATTGAAGTTTGTGATTAATTTTCTATTGGTTATACTAGCTATATCAAATTTATTAAAATTACTATTAATTAGTGATAGTAAATTACACACTAACACTCAAACACATACACACGCACACACACAAACTCACGCACATAAATAGTTAGTATCAGGAACAGCAGAGTTCTTTGGCTCAGAATTAGTGAAAAAAAAGATCTACAAATTTTCAGTTGGGGCCAAGGGTGCCATCTTCACTTACGAGGGTTGTGAGTTGTGCGTGTGTGGTGAGGCTAATGAAGTCTATACTGCCAACAGTCCAATGATGATGATGTACGCAAATTTGCACGCTGGTCTTGATCAGATGAGGAAGAAGGCAGAAGAATCAATGAACAGAGGACCAAGGGTTTCTAGTTTTTTTCTGTTTTAGTTTTTTAGAGATAGTTTTTCTCATTTTTTTCTTTATTTTAGTTATTTAGTTAAACTTTCTAAAGTTTATTACATACAATAGAACTTTTTCTTGATAGGTTTTCAATTTTATCAAAATTTTTCTTCACTTATTCAGTTTCAATTGTTACTATTACTTCCACAAAAAAAACAAACCCAAATATTATTTTTTCGTATCTAGGTGTTGATAGTCGGTCCGACGGATGTAGGTAAAAGTACACTTTGTAAGATATTAGTGAACTATGCGGCCAGATTAGGCTGGACCCCCATTCTTGTTGATCTAGATGTTGGACAGGTGGAGTAATGATGATGATGTTTATGGTGTTGTTGCTTATTTGTTGGCTCAAATTTTTGCCATTGCTCTCATTATTTGTTGTTTATATGATTGCTAATAATGTTGATAAGGTTTAAATATTATTATCTTTTTTGAAATGATAAATAAATAAATATGATTAATAAATAAAAAATTATTATCTTATTTTAAAAATAATTTTTTACTTTATTATAAAATTTCAATATATTTCAGAACGAGATCTCAATTCCAGGAACTGTTGGTTGGTTGGGCAATCATCCAATCACATTTTGACTTTTTAGCCATCAACCAATCACATTTATCTTACATTCCAATTTCAAGCAACGAATCAAAATTGGCTTCACCAATCAACCAATCATATTTATTTCAAATTTTACCTGAAACTAATTCAATTTCATCGATCAGCCAGTAACTGTTGTATTTTCAACAATCATATAGTCAAATTTATTTCACATCCCACTTACAAACCAATCGAATTTCACTCACTAGCCAATTAAAATTCATCTGTCACCAATCAAACAATCGAATTTCACTCATCGGCCAAACAGAATTCACCTTTAACCAATCAACTAATCGCAGACTAACAGCCAACCAATCAGAGTTTCTTATTCCACCAATCTAAATTTCAGGGGCACTGTGTATCACACGTCCGGCTGACATTCAAAATGGCTACGACCTCGACAACCCTCTCGTGTTTCATTTCGGACACAAGGCCCCATCCGAGAACACGTCCTACTACAATTCACTAGTTAGTGTAATGGCCGAGGCCGTCAACTACCGATCCGAATTTAATAACCATTGTGGGTGATGCTCTCATATTTTACCAGATAGTTTTTGTTGTTCTGTTAATTTCGTCTTTTTACGATATCTTTAATTGATTGTTTGATAGATTTTTCTTTGTTTTTGCTATAAATAATAATAATAATTATTATTATTATTGTAATTATTATAATTTTTGGTCTTACGTCAGGTAACATTAGTGGGGTTATCATCAATACGTGTGGCTGGGTTAAAGGAAGTGGCTACGACTGCCTGAAGCATGCTGCCTCTGCTTTCGAGAGTAATTATAGAGTCAATTATATTCAATTAAATTCATAAATTTTATAATTATATCCATAATTATTGGTTTATAGTTAGTATTGATTATGATTTATTTATGATGTTCTCCCCCGACAGTTGAAATCTTAGTTGTAATGGATCACGAGCTACTCTACACGAAATTTCAAAAAGACATCCCTGATTTCGTTAAGATCGTTATGCTGCCCAAATCCGGCGGGGTGGGGACCTGTTATTATTATTATTGTTGTTGTTTTATTATTATTATTATTTGGTGATGAAATAATATTGCATGTCTTCTATCATCAAGTCTCTTTTCGATGTCTCAAAACTTTTGACATAACAACATAGCATAGCAAAGATTTGTAAAGGATTCCAAGAAGTCTAACTAGGTCCGCTGGGACAGGACCGCTCTGAGACTTTTTTTCAATATCCTATTTTTGCCAAGTTTACAGATGATAATTAATCATATTGAGAGTGATAATATTTTCCCCGTCTAGGTCGTTGAGAGGAGTCAAAATTTCCGAACGAACAAGAGATATACAAAGATAAAAAATTATTTCTATGGCGTTTCCGGCAATCTATACCCTCACACGTTCGAAGTCAGGTTTCAAGATGTCGAGATTTATAAGATTGGAGGTTTGTGCGTTAATTGATTGATTCATTGACGGATTTAATGACGGTTTGATTCGTATATTTATAATCTTTTTCCTCCCCACCACTTATAGCTCCTAAACTTCCGGACTCCATGCTCCCATTAGGAATGATCCCAGAAGATAACAATATGAAGCTGGTTCCTGTTACCATATGTAATAATTATTATTATTACTATTATTATTATTAACTATAATCTTTTTCAATTATTTTAAATAGCTGGCTCGTTAGAACACCACGTACTGAGTACAAGTTATGCAATTTCCAAGGAGGAAGTTATAAGAACCAATGTCTCTGGATTCGTCATTATGTGAGTTGGCAGCGCTACATAAATCGTTTGATTATAGTTTTTAATAGGCGCTAGTTAAATTATCGAAATATAATTTTACGCGTATAAATGATTGTTTCAGACACTCATTCAACAAATCGCTTGAGATTTAGTTAGATTAGTTGTAAGAAAGAACAGCATAACTTTTTGTCTACATTATAACTCAACCATAATTATTTTAATTATAATTAGTTATAATTGAGCAATATTTTTTTGGGCACATAGAACTAAAGTGGATACGGAAAGACAATTACTAACTCTGCTGTCTCCAGGACCAAGGCCTTTCCCATGGAACATTCTTCTGCTTATGGAAATTACCTTCATGGAAACATAATAATTATAATCGTAATAATAGTCATAATTATCGTCAAATTATAACCCTGAACTATATACTTTCCCCGCAATCGTGAAAATTAAAGCAATGAATATTATAATTTTAATTATTATAATTAAGTATAATTATGACCGTTATATTTATTTTATTAAATCGACACTCGCAAAGTCTGGTACCTTTCCGTGGTTTTAATTTTCACTAGTAACGGTTATAGCTTTTTTTGCTGAGATTAAATTGCCACATGGTTCTTTCTTTTCCATTATTCTATATATATATACGGTTTGCAAGTTACAAGGTATCTATTTAGGCAATGTTGGAGAACACGCCGTAAGATACTGTAACATAATAAGACACAAAACTCGTCTCGTGTCATCTTATTACACGAAATAAAAGATTTATCTTCATCACTTTAAAGAGAAAATATATGTGCTCAACGAATTGAAACAGGATTTTACTTTATACGTACCTTGTACGATAAGGTTTGAAAGCTTGAAAAGAAACATGACAAGCTGATCGACTGAATTCAACAAAATATAAAAATATATTTATATATACAACAGTATATGAATTTCTTCAACTTATTAGGTTTCCAAACGTATTAACAAAATTGTCGTTAAGATTTAATGAACTCCATCACAATCGTCCTGTCTCTTATTTGGTAATTTTAAGTTTTGAGGAATAAATAAAAATTCGTTTCCTATATGTTATATGGGTAGGTTTCGTTTCGTTTCGTTTGTGTATTTAAGTTTGTGATGCAACTCTTTCTAAACTTTTACAGGCGTCTTGAAGTTTGCTGACTAAATCCTAAAGTAAAGAAAATCATTAAAGGTTAAATAAGGTAAGTAAAATATAAAAGTTTTTGATTACGAACGCCGAAAATCGTAATGTGTAATGATGAATATCAATGAAAATAAACAACAACGGTGTCTGAGTCCTGGACAATTTCTAAAGAATTAGAAAAATAGATTAACGCGACTGAGATGTGGTTTTTGAGAAGAATTATGAAAATTAGTTGGACCTATCATACTTTGAATGAGGATGTATTAAAACAGTCCGGTTATGAAAAGAGGAAATTACTACAGATAATTCGACGGGGACAGTTAGAGTTTTTTGGTCACATAATGCGGAAGGAAAGAATGGAAAATCTAACAATGTGAGGTCCCTGTGTCACTTGTTGAATATCACCACATTTCAATTACTACAAAGTGTTAAAGATCGGGTTTTGTGGAGGTCGATGGTCGCCAATGTCCTGAAAGGATAAGGCACAAGAAGGAGAAGAATAATAACAAAGAATAGTAATAAATATTAATTATGCCTATGAATATAACCTGTAACTGTTCTTTGGTGCAAAACATCTTAACATTTTCTTCATCATTCTAAAAAGCAAAAATAATATATAGAGTAATAATAAAGAAATAATATATTAATTATAGACCTAATAAAAATAATTTTTTTACAACCATACTTGCGTATTGAGTTCTATTGTGAATACTGGCTGACCTATCTTACCTTGTGAGCTATTCTGTTGAAAAAATAATTATACATAATAATAATAATAATATAATATGATACTAAATGATAATAAAATAAAGAAAGAAAATTCATTTATTTTTAATTTTCCAAAATTACTTTTATCTGATAGTCAAGACTCCAGTTAACATCAGTTAGATCGGGATATGACTGGCCTATTCTTGAAATATTTAACAATTATTACAATAATTATAGATATTGTGATTATAAATACACATTTAAATTGATATTATTATATTATAATAGAAAAAAACTAGAAAAAAAGGTTTTATTACTTCGATAAGTTGTCTCTTAGATTGTTTTTTATATTCTTTGGTGCAAAAAAAATAAAACATTATTTGGTAAATTATCAATGTTATTAATGATAATGAATAGTATTACTAATGAATGACAAAAAAAGTATGAAAAGTAATGAAGCTAACTTTATAGCCATCACAAATTGCATCAACTCTTTCATTCTTCATTTTCAGATCTAACAAAAATTCCCTAATTTTGAAGAAAAAGTAACTAAATAAGATTATCATATTAAAACCACTGGAAAATAAATGAATAGTAACAAACACACTTAACTATTTTACATCTATATAGCAACAAATACTTAATTTTATTAAAATTAGATTGTACAACAAAGAAATTTAATTAGCTTATAATGAGATATTAAAACAAAATGTTTTATAATTTAAAGATGTAACTATAATAAACCATAACCAGAAAATATATTAAAAATTTTTAATAATTATTTATTACATATATAAAATTTCTTTATATTATAAATTAATTCTAGATACTTCATCTCAGATGTATGGGTATTATTTTTAGCACACTCAAGAAAGATACATGGGAGTGTGGAGTAGCTAATTTTGAGTGATAGTGGATTCAATCCTGCAATTGATGGCAGCTCTGAGTGAAAAAATTTGAGAAAAAATATTGTGAATATTAAAATTAAATTAAATTTAAAACATGATGAAATTAAGCAAAATATATTTAAATTTTAAGAAGATATAAATTAAAAAAAACTTTAAATCTAAAATTCTAAATTAAACTTTAGCAAACTAACTACTAAAGCAACCGAAAATTTGAAACATACACATCAAACAATGATACAACCCAACACAAAAACACCCACTTTCACTAATGGGATTTTCAACTAAAGTCTGACAGACGGACTGAATGACGCTAGGAAAAATTTTATCGTGAATATGATTTTCTTCATTTATATACATTAAACCTTTTAAAACATCGTCTGACAGTTCCATAATGATAAATTTAGCTGTGATTTATTTGAGGACCAAAATTTACAAGATCGTGTAAAAGTAAATTTTGTTAACAGATCTTTAAAAGTAAATCAGATACAAATATTTTAAAGGTTTTTTTTCTATGTTCAAGCCTGCTTGTATTGTCGACTGTGTTGGCTGCCTGTTTAAAAATAATAGTATTCCCTGAAATTAGTGAAAACTAAGAATAGGTTGGGATAAGCATTCTTTCTTTTTTTAGTTGTTTAGTTTAATTTAGGTTAGAGCTTAATAATACTTCAATTTTTTTGCGTTTTTCCGCATTACAACTTACACACCTAATTAATTTTGTTTAATTAGTTTAATTTAATTTAATAATAGTTAATTTAAAAATTTATTTTTACATAGTGAAATAGGAATACTGTTATGGCTGCTAAAAAGAAGTCAGCGTTACCCATAGAAGACAGTGATCAATTAGTAATTAGGCCTTTGGGGGCCGGTCAGGAAGTTGGACGGTCTTGTTTGCTACTGGAATTCAAAGGCAAGAAGATTCTACTCGATTGTGGAATCCATCCAGGGATGAATGGATTAGATGCACTACCATATTTTGACCTCATCCAGGATGAATTACAGAATGTCAATTTGATGTTGATCAGTCATTTCCATCTTGATCATTGTGGGGCCCTGCCTTGGTTCTTACAGAAAACGCCATTTAAAGTATGTAATTCACTCACTTACAATTTACTTAACTGTTTGTCAATCATTTATTTTTTCCTAAAAAAGTAAAATAAATATTCTGTTCATGTTATGCAAAAAAATTAATTAGTATTAGTTATTATTGAGATAGTTTGCACTGTTTGTCATAATGATTTTATTTTCATTTAACAGGGAAGGTGCTTTATGACCCATGCAACAAAAGCCATCTACAGATGGCTCCTCTCAGATTATGTCAAGGTCAGTAACATATCAGCTGACAAAATGCTCTATGTAGAAAAAGACATAGAGGAAAGCATGGACAAAATAGAAACTGTGAACTTCCATCAAGAAATTGACATCAGTGGCATAAAGTTCTGGTGCTACAATGCTGGGCACGTCCTAGGAGCCGCCATGTTCATGATTGAAATAGCCGGTGTCAAAGTATTATACACTGGGGATTTCAGTAGGCAAGAGGATAGGCATTTAATGGCTGCTGAACTGCCTAATGTCAAACCAGATGTCCTGATTGTTGAGTCAACATATGGAACCCACATCCATGAGCCTAGGGAAGAGAGGGAACAAAGATTCACTAACTTGATTCACAATATTGTTTCTCGTGGTGGTAGATGTCTCATTCCAGTCTTTGCTCTTGGAAGAGCTCAAGTTGCTTATTCCTCATTTTTTTTAAATAAATTCATTCTTTTACCAAATAAATGAAACCTATTATCGTTTTTAAAAAAAATTTTTAAAACGTTTCTTAAATTTTGTTTCCAGGAGCTTCTGTTGATTCTAGACGAATACTGGTCAGCCCACCCCGAGCTTCAAGAGGTTCCCATCTATTATGCATCATCACTTGCAAAGAAATGCATGTCAGTCTATCAAACATACATCCACGCCATGAATGAACGAATTAAAAAGCAGATTGCTGTTTCCAACCCTTTCATATTCAAGCACATCTCCAACCTGAAGAATGCCGACCACTTTGAGGACATTGGGCCCTCTGTGGTCCTGGCAAGTCCCGGCATGATGCAGAGTGGCTTATCAAGAGAGCTGTTTGAGTCCTGGTGTAATGATAAAAAAAATGGAGTTATTATTGCCGGATACTGTGTTGAAGGCACTCTAGCTAAACATATCTTATCAGAACCTGAAGAAATCGTCACAATGAATGGACAGAAGTTGCCTCTGAGATGTTCTGTAGACTATATTTCGTTTTCAGCCCACACTGACTATCAACAGACTAGTGAGTTTATTAGGATTCTGAAGCCAGCACACTGTGTCCTGGTTCATGGCGAGCAAAACGAGATGAGTCGACTGAAAGCTGCACTAATTAGAGAGTATGAAGATTCTACTGATTACAAAATCAATGTTCATAATCCAAGGAATGGACAGGCTGTTGAGGTGATTGGATTTGTTCATATTGTTTATGTTTCTTTTTCTTGACAAATTTTATTGGTTTATTTTCATTCATAGCATTTTCATCTTTTATTAATTATTAATCTCCATCATATTTTTCAATTGCAGCTGCTATTCAGAGGTGAGAAGCTGGCCAAAATAGTAGGGCAGCTAGCTGTCCAGAAACCGAAACAAGATGAAAAGATATCAGGTGTCCTGGTGAAGAAGAACTTCAACTACCACATCATGCATCCCAGCGACATTCCTAACTACACTGACCTCATCACGTGCAACGTGCAACAGAGGCTTAGTGTCCCATACAATGGTAGCCTAGCCCAGCTACAGTATCACCTTAATAAGATTGCCACAGACATAGAATTAATAAAGAGAGAAGCTACAGTTGAGACTGGTAAAACTAAACAGCCAGCAGCACCACAGATTTTAGTATTTAAATCCATATTAGTGACATTAGAGAAAAAAATGGCTGTCTTAGAATGGACTTCGAGTATGACCAACGATATGTTTGCAGACACTATCATCATGGTCATACTCAAGGCCGAGTCCGATTCCGCTATTCAGAAACTCGCAATCGAGTGTACAGAAGCGGATATAGAGAGTAAAGAGAATAAATTTAGTAGGAAGGCGGTGCAATTAATGATTGACATGTTTGGGGAGGAGTGCAAACCGACTATTGAACCTGAAGAAACACTAACCATGACCGTCGACGACTGTCCGGTGAGTATACATCTGAAGACTTTAAACGTGAAATGCTCAAATGATTTGTTGCATCAGATGATAACGACAGCCGTAACTAAGTTGAATCATGTTTTAACTGCGTGTTGAGATTTGCTGGGTTGATTTCTCTTCTCAAAAACCGCGCTTCTATATTTAACGTTTTTAAAAATTATTCATTAATAAATAGTCAACAACGTATTTGGTTGTTTCGTAATAAAAAAAAACATCGTATCTGCACGCTTTTTTATCTGCTTCAAATCCACAATAAATCTATAATCGCAGAAACTGTAAATTGAAAAATAAACTAAACATTAACTGAGCTAATTAAAAATTGCATGGCAAACATATTGCAAACGTTCAGTAAGAGCATATTAAAATAAGAAACATGTATTTAAACTTAGCCTAAATTCATGAGAATGCAGATACGCTGTGCAAGTTTCATTACATGTCAAACTGTTACAAGGTTTGATACTACGTTTCATTGCTACTATTAAACAATTGCTTCATATCTAAGTTGTGGTTACAGACATCGAAAAATGTAATATTGACAACATGAATACAAAACATTACACACAGATCACAGCGTCGTCGTCTTAGTCGATGAATAAATTAATCCAAAAACCAGTAGTGCAAATTTATAAATACAAGTAAATAAATTGATACATTATTAGAAAAATAAATAATTCAAACGATTTGATCGATCATTTATCAATTTTTAAATACAATAATGAGTAAATTTCACAAGTTATTTTGCTCGACGATGTACTCAATAGCCTCGTTAACGTCGCAAAAAATTTTCGTCGGAGACTCGACACTCTTATCAAAGTTCAGTGCATCAATACTCCTATTGTGATAAACATGCCTGCCCTCTGTGGCCGCCACTTCTAACTTTTTGTCGCTCTGTTTGTAGACGCCGGTGCAGACCAGCAAACTCTCGACTCGTTTCACGGTCTGCTTAATTAGTGACGGGTGCATGGGAATGTTCCGTGATGGCGGTAGCTCGGTGTTCGCTAAATTTATGCACTCCTCCTCATCATTGCCCAACTTCCGGTACATGTCCAGTTTTTTGACGTACTTCTGGTAGAGATTGGCGCCTGCAATGTCCGCTTCTGGCACGTCCCTGAGTGACGTCATATTTTAAAAGTTAATTACAGTTAATATGAAATAATGAAATCCGCACACAATCAATTACACAAATACATTAAACACTAAAAAAAACGACATTTAAAACTAAGAATCACTGAGACTTATTTTACGAGAAAAGATACAAAAGAACGAAAACAGGTAAGACGACATACCCAACCATGTACATCTTTTTAACGGACGACTGTATACCTAACTTTTGGGACTCTCTAGCAAGAACGAGTTCTGCATACCTAAATGTTACCTCCGTTGGTTTTCCAATCAGGGATGAAAACTTCAAACTATGCCCTGTGACTTTCTGAACATTTTAAAGAATGAAAATATGAAATACATAGCTTTTGTATTAGTATGTGTATATGATACACAAAGTTATAATACTATATTATGATATATGACAGTGATTTCATCAGGTTATTTAAAACGTCCTGACATTATTTCGAATATTAGTAAAATGTTTTTGGCATATGGCTGATTTGTAGGAATTGAAAATAACATCAAATATTAATGTTATAAAAACATAATAAATGAATAAATTCATGAATAAATACAAGAAATTACAATTGAATAAGAATATAGAGATGCATTTAAATATTACCTTACTTTGTAAAGAGCTTCAATACAGACGAGAAATGCACCGTGACCAAATCTGAAAATTAATCAACCACACAGTTAACCAACCAGCCAACCAATCAATCATTCACCAACCAAACAAAACAAAACAAAACTATAAATGAAAGCCATGAGAGATAATTAATTGATTATTAATAACATTTTTATGAAAGATGATAAATAATTAATAATAACGTCCTACCTCGGAAAACCGGGTCTCTGGACGCAAAACGAAGATTGATTGAATTAATAACATAGATATAAAAAATAATAAATAAGACCCAGAACCTTGGAATTGCAGCTCTACCCATGTACTCCAAATCAAAATTGCAGGCAATCAGAGGTGGTTGTTCAAATTTCGAAGATTTTGAGAGTAATTTCGTAGGCAGACCATTCGTCCTCAATAAATCTATCACTAACTGTAACGTTGATTCCCAATGTACTGACTCTCCAAGTAGGATGATTGCTTCATGATGGTTGTTTTTAAGAAAAATGTCAAGCGTTATATCAATTTTGGAATACTGTTTAACTCGGTGACACACCATATAAATTAGTATTAGTGTTCCTTGATCAAAATTTGAGACTATACGAATTGCTAAAGTTAAATTTGAAAACGCTATAATATAAAATTCATTTCATCAGGCTATTCATAATATAAATCTGTATTGTTAGAGGACCATTGGAAAAAAATAGGTGCTATATAAGTTATTGCAGATGCAGATGATATTTGCAGATGAGATATCTTGATTTGGCGAATAATTAATGAAAGTTAGTGAATAAATTAGGAAAAATAGTGAATAAATTAAGAAAATTAGTAAGAAAATTTAGTGAATAAATTAGAAAAATTAGTGAATAATTAAAAAAATTTGGTTAAACCTTCAACCCTGGGAAAATTTTTTGTTATCTTCTCTTTGTCAATCTAAAGAAATATAGAGATAAATATAACATACACATGTATGTATAAGCGTTTGTAATTCATTTCACCGTTTTTACTTAATGTTTTGTGCTATCTTCAATTCAAATAATAGGTGTGGCATTGTAAAACCATTTATAAGATCATTTGACTGTAATAGATAATATTTACAATCTGAAAGAATAATAAAATAAAGAGTAGAAAGAATAATAAATTAATTTAATTTAATAGAAAATACTAAATTATTACCAACAGGTTTATATTTACTCTCAACATTCACCATATCCAACAATGGATAAGCTCTTCTTAAGTCTTCTAATGTGCATACATTTGATAGACCAACTCTTTTTATAAAATATTGTCATTATTATGAAACAGAAACAATAGCACTAATAACAGTTAAAATAATAATAATAATATGATATACATAATAAATAATCTAATATATATTAATAATCAATATTATAAAAAATATTATTAAAAATTTGAAAATTATAACTTACTCATTAGCTAAACTCCTGACATCTCCCTGGCCAATCAGAAGACAGAACATTTTCCTCAAATCTGTGAACAGCTCCAATGGACTGTGCGCCTGTACAACTTGTGTAGGGCACACCTGTTAGATTTGATAATAAGAAAATATTTTCTAAGGACTTGTTTGGTCACATAACATTACACTAATGTTAAATCAGGAAGACCATAGTAGAGCATGTTGCAATAACCAATCCTAGAAAAAGTTAATGAAGTAGCAAGAAGGAGAAGAGTAGGATTGTCAAGGAAAGGCAAAAGTTTTTTACTCTACTTAGATGAAAGTAAGAACTTCTAGCAACGCTATTAATCTGAGAAGAAAGAGACATGCTATATTAACAGTTATAGATTACTTAACACATTACAATTACATACAGACAATAACAATTGAATAAGTTTTTAAAATTAAAAATGTACAGTCATATTACTATGATAATAATTATAATGTGCAATAGCAACTTGAATTTAATAATTGATCCAGATTTCATAAGAAGATAGGTGCCATGTAAGCTTACTACTATGTAAAACGCTGCAAAATAATAAAAAATATAATAAAATATTATGTAAAAAATGCAAAACATAAAAAAGGAATCGACCTTGACATTCAATATTTCAGATAAATAATCGGCTCTACGCTGGCTCGAAATGGAGGAATTAGTGACAAATGCAACAGGAACTTTCCAGCGACTTTTTTCGTCAGTCAACTTCCTAATCGCGTTCGTAGAGCCGGAAATAGCCACCGGCCCCTTCGCGAGTACTCCATCGACATCGAAGCAGACGCCGCAGATTGATCTTTTCGGTAAAAATGATGCGGCGTTTTTTAAGAAACGTATGCGAAAAATCATTATAACGATTAATTAAATAGAAAAATTAATAAATTCAGGATAAAATTAACATATTAATTAATTAGTACAGAGAACGGCTGCCGAAAAAGTATTAACTTCGGCCAAATTTGTCTAAATAGAATTCTAAAAGTGAACTTCTGAAAATTGGAAATGATACGATAATTAAATTAATCAGCTGATGATCAAAGCTCCCTTCGTCTTTGTCCATACAAATTTAACTAAATATTTTTTCTAAGAAGGGATTTTTATGACACTAAAAGAAAATTTTACAAATATCAAATTTGAATGGAATATAACCAGAAAACATTCAGTGCCAAATTAAAAATGAAAAAAAATCAATCATATCACACAAGTGTATGTTATGTATGTCTGCTTATTTGTATGTTTCGTTAAAAAATGAACTAAACTCTCGCTATGATAATACTGGTTCGAAATATTAAATGTAAGTATGTATGTATGTGTTTATGTATGCCCGCATGTATGTGTGTATGAATAATTAAATGAACGAAACCAACGAATGAATGAATGAATGAATGAATGAACAAAAACCGTAACGTCAAACTGCAAACAAAAAACAAGTGATCATAGTTTTTGCTGCTAAGGTTTATCTTCTTGCTTGTTCTTCATTTTGTGGAAGTCTTTGATTTCGTTAGTTTAGTTGCTGCTGATGTAGGTGTTGTTGTTGCTTCAAGTGACGATGTTGTTGATTTCATGCTACAGTCTGTTTTAGTTCTTCGTTTTCACACGAGAATCGTATGACTTTGGAAAAGAAGTCTTCCACGTCTAGAATAGAAAAAATGAAATGATTAAATTTAAAGAAAAAACACGCGCGCTCACGCACTTACATAACATACTCACGTACATACCAGCAAATGTATAGATACACGTACATACTTGCATAGATACTAACATTCGCAAAAATAAACAACCTCCCCAGAACTCTTAAAAACCTTCTGCAACCTAACCAGCAGGTTCAAATTCGCGGACCAAAATGTTGACAAGGAAATTTTAAATGTCATAAAATTATCTCCGACAGTTAGAAAATTTCTCAAAAGACAAATCCCCTGCTTAATTATCTGGAAATATTTATTTCCCTTAACGTTATAATTACCTATAATATCATAATTATTATTAATATTATTATTATTATCAATACTACTACTACTGATATAATTATTATCAGTGTTAACGTTGTTATTGCTTTTATTCAGAGCAGTTAAGCAGATTTCTAGTATTGAAAAGGTTTCTTTCAAAATCTGAAATGGAATAATAATAATAACAAAATAATAACAATAGCAAAAACAACAACAACAAAAATAATAATATTAATAATATTATAACTGAAAATAACAATTCAAGAAGACCCCATCTAAGCAATCACAGGATAGCATGTGAGAAAGAGTTTCAGTGGTTATTTCTTTATTATTATTATTATTGTTGTTGTTGTTGTTACCTGTAGAATTATTATTATTATTTTTATTATTATAATTATTATTATTATTATTAGTAGTAGTAGTAGCAGTAACATCATCAATATCTCCAACGATTATAATGTTATTGATGTTTCCTTCATTGTTCTTAGCGCTTTTATTATTATTATTTTCTTTATTATTATTATTAATATTATTATTATTGTTGTTATTGACGTAGTAGTACCACATGGCATTCCTAACGGTGACTTCTGAAATTAGGAAGAACTGAAAGATGAAAAAATTTATGGCCATATAAACAGAATATATATTTATATAAATAAAATGACAACACCAACAAAAACAACAAAATCGTCAACAAAGACATCAAAAAACACATCACCAAAGACAACAAAGTTAGCATTCACGATAAGTAACGTTAACAATAATTTTAACCTGCCAAAAGAACAAAACATTATTATTATGATTATTATTATTGTTATTATTATTATTAAAATGATGATGATGATTGTAATTATTATTATTATTAATGTTGTTGTTGTTGTTGTTACCCAAAGCTCTAAACCTTTGAGACAGTTGGCTAACTATTGTTAAGAGACAACAGCAATCTGTGTGTGTGACCAAAATTAAAATTAATAAACTCAAACTACAGACACCACTACTACTACTACTACTACTACTACCACCACCACCACCACTACTACTACTACTACTACTACTACTACTACTACTACTACTACTACTACTACTACTACTATTACTACTACTATTACTACTACTGCTACTATTACTACAACCACTACTACTACTACAACACAAACATTAATAATAACCTGATCCGAAGGACTTGCAAATAAATTTAAATGTCAGTCTACTTTTAAACAGCCCAGTAAGAAACCTCAAAACTTTCACTGACAGATCTCTTTGCATAACATTAGTCGCTGACGACGATGATGATGGTGGTAATAACCATGGCGAAGCCGATGACGATGGTTTGGTAGATGGCATGTAGCTATCTTTTTCTTTCCTCTCTTCCTCCTCATCATTAGTATCCTCACCTTCCTTCACTAGCCGGAAGACAAAGCCGTGTTTTTTTGTGAAGACACCGAGCAACCTACGAATAATATTTATATAATAATTATAATAATAATAAAAAGAATAATAATTATAACAATAATAATTATAATTACCGTCAGTTTAAAATTGATAGTACCAGACTACTAAAGAATGAACGCAAATTGAATTGAACGTGAATTGGACTTAAATAAAAAATATACCCTCACACTGAAATATGATTCTCCCAATCATAATCAACACCTCGACTATCATTATCATCGTCGTCATCGTCGTCGTCATCATCACAATCAATGTTATGGTTTTTGTCATTAACATCTAGAATTGTGATGATAAGATCTAGGACACATTGAAGTAAATCATAATAGCGCCCTGTGGGTTCCTGTATAATATTTGTGTGTTTGTATGTTTGTTTGTATGTACGTTCGTATGATTGTATGTACGTTTGTATCTATGTTTGCATGTATGTGTATGTGTGTGTGTGTGTGTATATGTGTATGTATCTATGTATGTATATGTACGTATGTATGTATGTATGTACGTATGTATGTATGTAAGTATGTTCAGTATGTAAGTATGTATGTTTGAATGAATGTATATAAGTATGTACTAATACAAATAATAATGATAACATTAATAATATTTATTACTAACAAAATTTAACGTCTTCACTAATATAGGAATCAGGTCAGTAAATGGTTTCAGGGTCTTTCTACTGTAAGATTTGACTTCCATCTCTTGTAGAAAACTCTTGACAGTGGCCAGAACATTAATGACGTCTCGGATGATCACTTCATGCTGCACTCTTGATGTCATGATGTTTGCAGGTCCTGCTGTAGGAAATAGCATCAACAGTGATGCTGTTGTTGGTTTTTTATGGTTTTTGGTCCAAGGGTTTTACTTAAATAATATCTCTCTCTCTCTCTCTCTCTCTCTCTCTATATATATATATATATATATATATATATATATATATATGTATATATATATATATATATATATATATCAAAAATATTTATTTGTAGTACAATTTTGAATGTTAAGATTTATAATTGAATTGATTACTAAGCAACTATAATTTATCATAATATATTACAACTATGATTAATTATGGTTATAATTAGTAAATTATTCGTAGAGGATAAAGTTTTCAAAACTTTTACCTTCAAAAGCGAGAAAAAACTCCTCCAGTTTCAGTTTTGTAGCATAATATAGATGCCAAACATGGCGCATAACTCGGCTGTCGTCAATATCATTGGCACTATCTGAATTATTATTATTGTTTTTGTTGTTATTATTGTTCGTGTTGTTCATCTCTGAGCAAATATCATAAGCCATTAACAATGCATTGGTGTCCCATGGTTGAGAAATTGAGACTTTTTCAACTCTTAAAAAAAGAATGTTGGAATATTAACAATTAAGAAAAGTAATTAGAATTATTGATTTATTATTATAAATAAATTAAATAGTAAATAAGCGCATGAATCAAATGATAAATCAAATTAATTACTCATTTAGTTTTAGGATTGATGATGTTTTATTCATTTTCATTGATGATGATGGTGAAACTTCTTTCCTTCCATCATAACCGCCATCATTATAATTATAATTAGTGTTAATTTTAAAAGAATTATTCCAAAAATTTGACAAATAATTTAAGTCGTCAACGTGATTGGAGGATATAAATAGATTGTGTAAAGTTTTTGGCATAGATATCACCATTGATTTCTTGACAGGAACCATTTTCTTATTTGTTCTTTCACTATCATCTACTGTAGTTGTTAATTTGATAATAAAAAAAATTAATTAATTACAAAACAAATAAAATATGCCTTTCATTGAGTAAATTAATAACAAAATAAGTGAATAAAATATTTAAAAAATTCTAAATAGTGAACAAACAACCTTTATAATTGTAATTAATGGCAGAATTATTAATGTCGGCATTGACATCATCTAGGATTTGTTGAGATGAAGCAACTAAGTGATCAATGTGATTCAAATTGTCCTGCTGAGTTAGTAGCACCTCAAATTCGTTGTCATCATCTCCCCAATCGTCCTCTGCTGTTGATTTTTTGTCAGCCTTGTTTAAGACATGGGGTTTATTATTTTGATTGTTACTTTCTCTAGCATCCCAAACAACTTTTCGCTTTTTTTCCGGTGGCATCTTGAAGCAGTTATTTGCATTTTGGCGTGATGATGACATCTGTTTAGCTTTAGTAAGGTTAGTTCAAAATCAATTAGAGTAGATTAGTGAAAATACTAAAAAAATGGCAGTATAGTTTCACCGGTAACGAGCTTCTTATAATGCCTATTGGAAAAAAAAATTGCATAAATATACAGACGGCATACATTTAGGTATATATCGTTTTTTTTAAAAAGTTTCATTCAAACTCAGTTATGTAAAATAGAAAAATCAATTTTTAGTTCTGAAATAACATAACAAACCGAGAGACTCGAATTCACTTTTAATCAATCAACTAATCCTTATATATGTGTGTGGTGTGTGCAACAACCTATGTATATACTGCTTCTTTTTAAACTTCGTGTTTAAAAGTTGATTTATAGCACAATTTTTCAGAAATTAATTTAAAAAATTAGAATTTAAAGACGAAAAACTAAAAAATGGATTACGAGTTTAAAGCTCGCCTGGCAAGTGAGCGAAGCAAAGTTGAGGATCAGTTTGAATTCGAAGGTCGGAAGGTTGGCCGAGGTACCTACGGACATGTGTACAAAGCCATTAGTAAAGATAGGTTTGTTTAAATTTTTAGAGTTTAGCTTAGTTTAGTAGTTTAATAATAAAAAATAATATAAATAATTAAAAAATAAATTATAAATTCATAAAATACCATGATTTTTTCACATTATTTAGTTTTAGTAATTTCAATTATTTTTGTAGTTTAAGTTTAACAAACTCTAACTATTTAATTAATTAATTAACAAAACCATATAAATTTTATAAATTATAAAAAGTATAAATAATTAAGTTAATTGACTTTAACTTAGTAACTACAAAATACAACTTTTGCCTTTATGGACTGTGATCTAAAAATAAGTCCCCAGACATCTATTGAACTTTTTATTTTTATTTACTACATTTAAAGAAACTTATAAACTATACTATACTACTTAATTACTTGACTAATTTAACAATTTCAGTTCAGAAACAAGGGAATATGCTCTGAAACAAATAGAAGGTTCCGGAATTTCCATGTCTGCCTGCAGGGAAATTGCTGTAGGAGTTATTTCAATATAATATCTTAGTATAATAATAAAAAGATGGAAATTAAAATAATAGGTCTATTCAATTTTTGAATTTATTAATTTTTTATCATTATTATAGTTATTTAATTTCACTTTTAAATTTCTGTCCCCAAAGCTCCTTAGAGAATTACACCATCCAAATGTCATAGCCCTGAAAAAAGTCTTCCTATCTCATTCAGACAGGAAAGTCTGTCTTCTATTCGATTATGCAGAGCATGATTTGTGGGTTGGTTATTGGTTGATGATGGTTCACTCTTTCACTCATTCATTTGTTCACCTTCATTCATTACTTTCTTCATTCATGTATTCATTCAACCTTTTACTCAATCTTTTATCCATTTTCACTCAACCATTCACTCACTCATTCATTAGTTCATCAATCCAACCAGCACATTATAAAGTTCCATCGTTCCGCAAAAGTGAACAAGAAGATTGTGAACGTTCCAAAGAATATGATCAAATCATTGCTCTACCAGATTCTGGGCGGCATTCATTACCTTCACTCACATTGGGTACTGCACAGAGATTTGGTTTGTTTGTTTTTTTTATTCATCCATCAATTCATTCATTCATCCATTCATTCATTCATTCATCCATTCATTCATTCATATTTTTTTAATGTTTTCTCTTATCAATTCTTTTACTCATTATATATTTAATATATCATCCATTCGTTTTTATGTTCATCCTATCAAGTCAACTAGCCAACCAACCAACCAATTAGCTAAACATTCATTATATCATGGCCTAGTTCATCCAATCACGATCTAGTATTCTGGTTTAATGGTGACCTAATTAAATCGTGACCCGAATACATTTTTCACCCCCAAACAACGCAGAAACCAGCCAACATACTTGTGATGGGTGAAGGTCCAGATAGAGGAAAAGTTAAAATAGGTCACTGACCTACTTACATAATAAGGAATTCGTACATTACATTACTATACATGTCTATACATCACGTTGCAGTCCCGTCAATTTTTAATGGCTAATTAATCAACGAAGAGTTTGACATTTATAAATACACGTATACATACATGCATACATGTATACACACATTCATACATATATACACACACACACACACACACACACACACACACACACACATAAAAACTCATAAACACGCTAACGTACAGCTGATTTGGGATTCGCTCGTCTGTTCAATTCACCGTTAAAGCCGCTGGCCGATCTCGATCCTGTTGTTGTAACATTCTGGTACAGAGCCCCTGAGCTTTTATTGGGGGCTAGACATTACACAAAAGCTATTGGTGGGTTTGCTGGTATTTCTTCAAATTAAAATAGGCTATGTAGTCTACGATTCTCGCCATTGTATCGAAATAAAATGCGTACAACTAGAGATAAAGATCAGTCTAAAAGCAGTTATGATACATTCTTATAATAATAATAATAATAATAATAATATAATTATGATATGATAATAATATATGATAATAATAATAATAACAATAACCGCGTCAACAACAAACAGATATATGGGCCATCGGCTGCATATTTGCCGAGCTGTTAACATCGGAGCCGATATTCCATTGCAGACAGGAAGACATCAAGACCAGCAACCCCTACCACCACGACCAGCTCGATCGGATCTTCAACGTTATGGGCTTTCCTCTTGGTGTGTGGTGGTGGTAGTAGTAGTCACTATTTTTATCATTAGTAGTAGCAGTAGTAGTAATAATAGCAGTAGTAGTAGTAGCGGTAGTAGTAGTAGTAGCAGTAGTAGTTGTTGTAGTATTAGTAGTATTTCATTCTTTTATTGTACGTTTCGTTGTCTGAACTTTTTTCATTTTATTTTGAATTTTTCGGGGCCAATGAAAGATTTTTTTTTATTATTGTTATTATTATTGTTGTTATTATTATTTCCCGAGATCGAGATTGGGAGGACATGAAGAAGATGCCAGAGCATCAAACCCTCATGAAAGATTTTAAAAGGAACAAGTCAGTGATGACGACGACGACGACGATGATGATATTAATGGATATAATGATGATGATGACAACAACAGTGATGATGATTTTACAGTAGTAATAATAATAATTATATTATATATAGTTACATGAGTTGCACACTGGCCAAATACATGGAAAAGCATAAGATAAGATCTGACAGCAGCGCTTTCTATCTGGTCTGTTATTAAAACATTATTATCATTTTATTTATTTATTTATCTATTTATTTATTTGTTTATTTATTTATTACAATTCTATTTTCAATATTTTTCAAAGACATCTACTATGAATGTTGTAATTCAGGGGTGGGCAAACTTTTTGCCGTGAGGGCCGCATCGAGAACTATTTTATCTTTGAAGAGCGAAGGGCCGCATATGTACTTAAATAGCAAATCTTTTCGACTCGGGGGGGATTTTTTTCAAGATTTGTGGCTTCTTTTTTTGGGCATAATGACCCATTTTTGGCGAACAAGGCATCGGGGACCGTTGTTTGTCCACCCCTGTTGTAATATTAACAACAATTATAAAAACGGTATAAATTACAGTAGTAATAATATTTATAATAACGATAGACATATCATCGTTAGTATTATTATTGTTAATTATGATTGTCATAATTAATAATAATAATAATAATTAGCTTCAAAAGATGTTGACTATGGATCCAACGAAGAGAATAAGTTCAGATGAGGCAATGAGAGACAACTACTTCAGAGAAGATCCTCTGCCGTCACAAGAGTAACTGCGACGATGATGATGGCGATGATGTTGTTGCCAATTTGAAATGATGGGATGATGATTGTGATGCCGTCTGGGGTGATGGTTATGATGATTTATTCATTCATTCGTTCGCTCATTCGTTTATTCACTCATTCATTCAGCGTTTTTGAAAACATGCCGATACCTTATCCGAAAAGAGAGTTTTTAACAGACGACGAAACAGAGGAAAAATCAGATAACACTGCTAGCAAGGTGAATTATTATTATTCTTGTTGTTTATTATTATTCTTGTTGTTTATTGCTATTATTATTGTTCATTGTTATTATTATTATTATAAATATTATAAATGAGTGTTAAGTATTTAACGCCTTTTCCATACTAACCTCGCTACGATGTTCTTCGGACCGTACATAGCACATGTAATCATCCTGAATAAAAAAAAGATTGAAGATTTAGTAAAAACTTTAATAGTTGTAGAGCTTGACGACCATTCTGCCAAATTCACTGTATCTAAATACATACAGGCCGGTACGATACAAAACCATCAGCAGCAGCAGCAACAACAACAGCAGCCAGATCACAGCCAGCCAAAAAGACCGAAGCCAAATCCTAACCCAAACGACTTTCAGGTAAATTAATTACGTATAATTATGTATATAATTATATTATTATTATTACGGACGGATATAAGGTTTAAAATTAATAATAAAATTATAATAAAATAAAAATAAATGAATAACGATAAAGATGAAACCCCGACAGAAACGGCCGATGCACGGAATGCCAGGACAGCACATCAACTACCCTCCACCACCACAACAACAGCAGCAGCAGCAAATGCAGCAGCAGCAACAATCGTCGTACAATCAGTCTAGATATTAGTCATGGAACATCTTTTTGACTGGCTGGCTGGCTGATTGGTTGGCTGGCTGATTGGTTGGCTGGCTGGCTGATTGGTCTATTAAGCCTTAATTGATTTATTGAGATATACTGGAATATTTAAGTTACTTACCAGCATAAGTATTAATTTACGAAATAAATCTAAAATGAAACTTCACATATGTACGTATGTGTGAATAATTAGTCTAAATCAGTGTGCTTGTGATTGGTTGGTTGACTGAATGATTGATGTGTACATGTGCATTATGATTGGCTGGCGATTAGTTGATTGATTGACGTACTACTTGTATACATGTACATTGGATGATTATTACATGACTGTTCAGTTGACTGATTGGTCGGTTGATGTATGTGCGATTAATTGAAGCGCTAGCTTTCATGTATAACTCACCATTGTGCATGATTTGGTTTTTAATCTATACGTACAAACTAAATTTTTTCGCGAATTTTATAAAAAAATTTCTTAAAAATGCTATTCATATTGCAATAATTACGCTGCTGGGCGCACACACACACATATATATATATATTTACAATATTCTATAAATTCTACTGAATGTTTGGCGTTAATAAGTTTGTAGTTCGTTTTTTCGATTTTTCTCACTAAAGTTTCACCAAAAAATTATGGTCTATTACCAACATATATATATATATATATATATATATATATAGAGAGAGAGAGAGAGAGTTTTTACACGTGATTTTTATTACAAAATTGTTGCAAAGTTCTCAGAAATGAATGAACATTATAGTCAGATGTGTTATTTTCTCGTTACGTTAATTACGTTAGAAGAGGCACACGCACGCACCCATCACCAAACAAACTCGCGAATTTGAATCTCAAAAACATGAAACAAAAGATGGTACATAATACAAGTAATTTTTTAATCAATGATTCGAGGGATTGTAGTTTTTAATCAATTAAATCATTTAATGAACAATCAACATATCAAATCAATGAATATTCAACTAATCAATCAAGAAGTCCAACCAAACATCATTAAATCAACAAACTCAATCAGCCAGAATTATCTTTCATAAATAGAAAAAATTTGTCAAACACACATACTTCTACTACATGCTAACTAAATGTACATAAAAACACGAACACATATATGCAAACATATACACAATTATAAACATACATATAACACATAACAATTTATATATATATATATATATATACACAAATGCATACATAAAATGTTAAAATAGTCAATATTTTATCAATAAAAAGCCAAAAATTCACTTTAATACGTTTTTCTTCCTCTAGCCGACCAAACAAAAGCAAAAAGTACAACTTAGAAGAAAAATCAAACTCGAGAGCAGAAAGATTAATTGAAAATAATAACGATAGAAACATTAAAAAGCAACGGTAACAATAATGATAGCTTAAAATAAAGACGTCACATTCAATGTCTGGATCTGTCAATTCATCCCCTCAGCTACCGGCATAGAATCCGTTCACAACGGTAGTTTTAGTAGTGGTAGTACTACTACTTTCACCACTACTACTACTACTACTATTATTACTATTATTACAAGTTAGATTAACCTGTCCAGAAGTTTTAGTGGTAAGACCAGAAAAGGTATTAGCAGCGGCAGCAGCAGTAGTAGTATTAGAAATGCTGTTACAACTACTGTCATTATGATCGACGAGACCCAAAGAAGAGCTGGACCAGCAGTTTCTTAAATTTAAGCTCATCATTTCCTCACAATAGTCCTCGCTTTCGTCATTATCCTCCAAGACATAGGGGGATAGACGGCAGCCCTGTGCAAGGTAAATGTTCAGCTTGTTGCACGAGGCTAAGATGAAGCCCAAATAGGGCGTAGAGGGTTTCAAGGGTCGCGTTAGGTACTCTGGGTGATACTGCACCGCAACGTAGTATGGCTGATCTGAAAGATATTTCCAGTTTATTGTATTATTTGACTGGTCATTTGAGGCTATGGTTTTTGTTAAGGTTATTAGTGTTTATAATTTTTAATCGTAAATACATAATCAATCGATTAATCAATCAATCACTCAACCAATTAATTAACCTATCAATCAACCAATCACTCACTCATCCAATAAATTAACCAATCAACCTTGTAACTCCATGATCTCCATTCTCTTGCCCTCCTCATCCTTCCCCACAAAGTGTAGTCCAGATTTTTCCAACAGTTCAACATACTCTGGATTCACCTGTTTTGGTACAAAAAAAACTTTCGAAAAATTAAATATATATTAAATATACTATAATTAAATGTTTGAATGAAAAAGTGAAAGAACGAATTTAGTAAATGAATGAATGAAAAAATGGGTAAATGGATGAGTGGGTGAGTGAATGAAAAAATGATGGATGGATGGATCTATGAAGTAAGTAGCGGACCTCATATCTATGCCTATGTCTTTCATCGATGTATTCAACATCACCATACAATTTTTCTAAATGGAAATAAATATTAATTGAATGCATGAATATATTAAAAAAATAAACAATTAACTGAATTAATAGTTTATTGAACAAAAGGGTTAATTGAATAAACAAGAAAATAAGAAATTAATAATTAGATAGTTAAATAATCCAACCTATTACAGAAATATATATAGTGCAGGTATATTATTTTCAAAATCATCCACACACACACACACACGCACACTAACTCAATAGAGACTTGTCATCTTTAAATACAGTTCGTCTCTTGCCCAATCTCATCGTGCCGCCCAACTGACCGGGGTGATGTTCAGGCATCTCGATCACCTAGATCAACCAATCAAAAAATAGTCAGCCAGCCAGTCAGACATCAAACCAGCTAATCAAAAACCAACCAATCAGTCAGCCACAACCAACCAATCAAAAACTTACAACAGGGTGAGGAGTCATAGGGTCAACCTCGGTGGAATTTGCTCCCTTGAGGTTCAGGACATTACGAGAGTATTCAATCACAGCGCACTGCATACCGAGACATATGCCTGCATTGTTCAATACAAACTTAAATGAAATACCAACAATAAGATATATTAGTGGGTGAAATAGATAAACAGAGAACAGAGAGAGAAAGAGAGACCAACCAACATAAAGACAGCTTCTTAAAAGAGAGAGAGAAAGAAAGAAGAGAGAGACAAACAGCCAACCCACCCAGGAATGGTTTCTTAGTTTCCCTAGCCCAACCAGCTGCCAAAATCTTCCCTTCCATGCCCCTGACACCAAAACCTCCAGGAATGAGGACCCCATGCGCACTACAAAGTATCTGCCAGGCTTCATGGTACCTCACTGGGTCCTCGCGCTTCGTCTCGTTTTCCAAATCAGCTGCTTCCAAATACTGTGTATGTGTAAATATGTGTACACATACATATGCGTGTGTGTATGCGTAAATATGTGTACACATACATATGCGTGTGTGTATGCGTAAATATGTGTATACATACATGTCTCTGTGTGTAATGAGCGACGAAAATAATGAAACACTGGGTAACCTTGAGGATAAGTTTATGATTGCAGGCCATGGCAGCATGGTTGAGGGCCTTCACTACACTGGCATATGCATCCTCCAGCTTTGTGTACTTGCCCACCAAACAAATGACAACTTCTCTAGTCAGGTGGTCAGCCCTGCGTGGTGGGTCGGTGATGGTGGTGGACAGGTGGAAGAAATGAGGACGATGATGACTATGATTGAGAAACTGATAACGATTAAACAAATAACTGACCGTCCAACAAATCAATCAATCAACCAACAAACCAAAACACCAACCAACCAGCAAACCACCTAAACCAACCAACAAACAAAACCATCAGCCACTCAAATCACCCAACCCATCATTCCATCACCAAGATAAGCAAATAAAATTTACTTTTCGGCCAACTCCTTCCACTTGTACAAAAATCTTTTGGGCCTTGGGTTCAAATACTCTAACTTTAATCTCTCCATGAAATACTGACTTATTTTTTGTTCTTCCAATAGCAGTGGTACTCTGTATATTGATGATACATCCGGTACTGATACAACCTGTGTGTATGTATGTATGTATGTATGTTTGTATGTATGTATGTATGTCTATGCATACAGAAGACCAAAACAGTAGTTTAAAAATGTATGTATGTACGTGTGTATTTATGTATGTGTATGTGTGTGTGTCTCACTTGATTAGCAGAGACATGGCAGAAATCAGATATTTTGGCAACTGCTTGTGGAGTCAACTTTGACAGACTTCTACAAAATATCTGGAAGAAATCAATCAATCAATCAATCAATCAATCAATCAATCAATCAATCAATCAATCAATCAATCAATCAATCAATCAATCAATCAGACAACCAATCAGACAACCAATCAGCCAATCACTAACTAACCAGATCAGGAGACAGCCCCAGACCTCTCAACTCTCTCACCGTTTTCTGCGTTGGTTTGGTCTTCTGCTCTCCAGAATCTTTAGGCTGTAGCAATGACACAGATAGCTACAACGATAACATTGTCATCAACAGCACCACCACTAACATCAACATCACATCAATACACCATTAACTTCAACAATATATCATCAACCAACCAACCAGCCAACCAACGACAACCGCAAAAACAAACCTGTGGAACCAAACTGACGAGGACACAGCAGAAGTTGTCGTGCTGAACCCTAAACTGGAACTGCCTGAAGGCCTCCATAAAAGACATACTCTCGATATCTCCAATCGTTCCGCCGAGCTGCAAAAATTTAAATATAACTTCTCATAACTGTAAGTTATTTATTTTGAATTTTTTTTTATTAATTTAGGATCTTTTTTTACCCATTTGCAGTTATTTTCATCTTAATTTATGCCAAACTTTAAATTTATTTTTGGATTTAAATTCTCTTTCAGTCTATATATTCATACATGAACATACTTTCAACCGAATTTCAAACTAATCCTAGGACATATTTTTACCAATCCATCAAATCATCTATCCAGTCCTAGCCTAACTTAACAACCAAAGTTAGAGTTAAACTAATTTAAACCTAAATTTACATTTAATCATTTCCTAATATTTCCCCAATCATTTCCAAATCTTTCCCTAATTAATCTCAATCCCACCTCAATGATGCAGACGTCTGGCTCCTGGTCGGAATTATCGACCGGTATCTTTGAAACTCTAATGACCCATTCCTGAATGGCATCTGTTATATGTGGCACCACTGATGAAAAAAAATATTATTTCATCATTAATTATAATATAATTATTATTTTATTATTAATTAAAATAAATTAATTAATATTACTAATAAAATATTAATTGATTAATGCAGAATATCATGTTATTATTATACAAAAACACTAAATATATACAGAGACAGCTTGCACAGCTAAAAAGACAAACATACAGACAAATGTATATACATATACATACAAAACACACCTTTAGGCAAACCAAAAAATACAAACCTACAAAACATTCATTCAGAACACACTTAAACATCTAAGAACACCAATATATACATGCCAGATTTAAACTTAAGCGTACACACATACATACATACATACAAACACAACAAATAGGCATATACATTAAACACACAAACACACCTACAAAAAATACACCTATAAACACAACAACAAATAGGCATATACATTAAGCACACAAACACACACACACACACAAAATTCACGTACAAGCACAACAACAAATATAATAGGCATATACATTCAACACACACGCACACACACAGACACACAAATATACACACAAACAAAAACTTATACACCAAAGTACCTTGAACAGTCTTTCCAAGATAGTCACCTCTCCTCTCTTTACTGATGACATCCTGAAATATCTTGCCAGTGGTGATGTTGTTATCTTTGTGGAGAGTTATATCTAGGAATCTTTCGTAGTTGCCAAGGTCCAAATCCACCTCCCCGCCATCGTCGAGTACAAAGACTTCTCCTAAATTGAAATTTTAAATTAAACATTCATTAAAATGGATTTGTAAATATTTTTAGTTTTTAGATGTTATCAGAAACGTGTAGTCCAAATGTTGCAGCTAATTATTTATGTTTACCTTAGTGAAAATATCCAGCACCACACATATTGTTGGTACTTACCTTAAACGTTTACATAAATGTAACTATGAAACTTTTTATATCATTAAACGTAATACGAGGTAGTTTAAGTTTAAATATAGTAATAATGTTATAAAAGAATATGAAAAAATAACGAGAAAAAAGTCGAACCATGTTCATATGGAGAGAAGGTTCCAGCATCGATATTAATGTAGGGATCAATTTTAATTGACGTGACCTTTAACCCATGGGCCTTCAACACAGTGCCAATACTACTGGCCACAATTCCTTTTCCTATCCCACTTATTACCCCACCAGCTACTAGAATATACTTCATCTTTTCTTTTACACTTTTATGTTTTTTTATGACTTTTTGGTCTCTTTTTTCACCCTTTTTGTGGTAATAATATTAAATTAAATTATATAATAATGATAAATCAATTTTTGATAATGCTATTTAAATATTTGAAGCGGTTAAAATTTAAGCTTGAAATGTGAACCAGCCAACCTATCCTTATCTGTCTACTGATGATTCATATAATAGGTAGGATCATACTGATTATATTACAATTATAGAGGCTAGTATATTTATAATATAAAACAAACCAATTTTGACATGAAACAATAAACGAGAATATCAAGATGACAAGTTATTTTGGTTTTTTATTTATTTAAAACGTCAAAAAGAAAAATACATTTGATAGATTTAAGCTCAAATAAATTATATTTATGAATATAAAGTTACAACACAAACACGTGTTAGCAGTTTCATTGTTTCATTTTCAGTTTCTAGGAAATTTAAATGAAAAAAAAGAGAAAACAATCGTTCACGCAAATTTTAAATGAAAAAAATTAACTATATCAATAATTAAATAATCAAAATATTTAAATTTAAAAAAAGCAGAACCACAAACCTGAAATTTGATGAGAAAACTCGATCGAAATTGACAGGCAACCAACGTCTATTTGAGCGGGTTGAACATTTTCAACATCGTAATCGCGAACGAATGACCGCAGGCAGAATTAAAAAATATTTCGCCCACAAAAATTTTCGGTCCTAGATAAATTACAATCACATATATTTAGAATATATACATGATTACAATCATCGAAACCGAATTCGATATTAATTTTTATTTATAGTTTGTTGTATATTTTATAATAAAAACATGAGGACTTTTAGATTGAACCCGCTACTAATGTTATGTCGTTCTAAATTATGGCCATGTCCTGGTTCTGACATATGTTACATTAAATTAAATTGAACGCCTCATCATGTGGTCGTACTTGATAGCTACTGCTAGTTAGGTTCATTTTCGTACAATTACAAAATTATCATTTGTAGTTGGTGGTTTTTTGCTGTTAAAAGTTGAAAAAACGAACCATTTCTTGATCAAAAGTGTCATTTCATTTTGCAAGCGAGATAAGTTGAGTCAAGTTTTTTCAATATATTGTTAAAATGCATGCGTTTGATTTGTTTTTTTGTGCAATTTGCTTTTCATTATGCTTCTTTTAGTTTGTTTAGTTTTCTATAGAGAGAGAGATAGAGAGATATAGAGACTTATAGACTTATAGAGATTTAAAAAAGACTTTAATAATTGCCATTGCAACTTAGCTTTTAGCATTTATTTTATTTAACAAATCATAGTGGGAAATTAATAAATAATAAAATGGTTTAAGAATTATATTATTTAATATGTAATTAACTAAAAAAATCTAGCAAATATAAAGTTCATTAACTTAACATTTTTACATTGTTGCCATTTGTTTGTTTAGTATAAAAATTTCTCATTGATTATTTTCAGAGCAAATATTTGCTTCCTCACAATGCTGTTATCTGTTTGTGTGTGTTTGTGTGTGTGTGTGTTTGTGTGTGTGTGTGTGTGTGTGTGTGTGTGTGTGTGTGTGTGTGTATCAACATACTTTGATTCGTCTGCTTTAATGTTCAATTACTAAGTTTTTTATCATTTTTTCTTCTTTCATAAAATTTATATATTATATACTAGCCCTTAATTCTATAATATAATAAATAATTTGAGTGTTTTTATAGTGTAGTTATTACATGTTTTTTCACATATATATATATTTATATTTTTTAAATTGTGGTTTTGTCTGCAAATTCAATCACAGTTTCATAATACAGAGATATATATTTAATTAATTTTGTGTGTTTACTATCATAGATTTGTTATACTTAGTATATTTTATTATAGTTTTATAATATAAATTCAATGTAGTTTCATAATTTTTTCATTATTATATTAACATTTTCAGACTTCTCTCAGTGGATTATAACATACAATGGGCAATTGTTGTGACATTGAGTCTGAAGATGTAGGCTTTTGTAATTTTATAATAACATTAATTATTGTTTATTTATAATTAATTAATTATAATTGAATAAATAATTATTTATTTATTGTGATTATTTATATATATAAGTACAGTGTAGTATCATAATTTGCTATAGTATAGTTATTTCTTGATTTTTCTATTCAGTCATTCTTTCCATGATTCATCCAGTTATTAATCTATCCATCCATATTTTTAGATTTTATTTGCTTATTTACTAGTTAATTTATCAATTTATTGGATTTATTTACCTTTATTTACTCATTTATTTATTATCTTTGATTCAGATCCCTGATAATGAGAAGGAGAGGAACCCGAGAAGTTTGCGGAGACGTGTGTGCTGCACTGACATTATTTTTCTCATCCTCTTCATTTGCTTCTGGGTTCTGCTGGTTAGTTGGTTGGCTGGTTGGTTTGTTGGTTTGTTGGTTGGTTGGTTGGTTGGTTGGTTGGTTGGTTGGTTGGTTGGTTTGTTGGTTGGTTGGTTAGTTGGTTGGTTGGTTGGTTGGTTGGTTGGTTGGTTGGATGGCTGGCTGGCTGGCTGGCTGGCTGGCTGGCTGGCTGGCTGGCTGGCTGGCTGGTTGGTTAGTTGGTTAGTGCATTTAGTGAAATTGTCATTGAAACTATTTTTTTAAATGTTTTTTCAATCATTTTTTCAGTTCAGTAGTTATGGCAATTAGGAATGGCATTCTTAGAATTTATCCTCACACCATCCTTTCTAAAATAAAGAAAGGAGTTTAAAAAATTGTGTGTGAGGGAGAAAGAGAGAAAGGAGTGAGAGAGAGAGAGATTACATTACACCACAAATAAGCCAACAACATGAAAAGATATTATCTCAAACCTCTCACTAAATAAATTTATCACTGGTTGAGTTTGCAATTGAGAAAGTTGAGTTTGAAATCTGAGTAATTTTGAAATTTAAAAAACTATTGGTTCCTCTCTCTCTCTTTCTCTCTCTCTTTCTCTCTTTCCTATCTATCTATCTGTCTGTCTATCTATCTGTTTATATATTTTTTTATCTACCTATCTATCTATCTTTTCTCTCTTTCAATTAACAAATAATTGGCCAACTAACAATTATATTTCTCTCTCTCTGTCTCTCTCTCTTTTTCTCTTAATCAATCAATCAATCGATCGACCATAACCGCCAAACAACTTACAAACTAACCAATCAATCAACCAATCAATCAATCAATCAAGACAGCACTTCCACTTCACTTCACTCCACACAGTTGTACATAGCAGTGATGTCGATAATTCACGGCGATGTGAAGAGGGTTGCATTTGGTTACGACTCGGCTGGCAACACCTGCAATCAGAAAACCAACAAACCCATTGAAAATCTAACCAATAGTGGCATGTCTACTGATGGAAAGCCGTTGGATTATTATTATTATTATTGTTTTAACTCGTACAATCACATATACACACGCGCACACACTTAAACAAACACATACACACACACACGCACCCACACTTAAGCATACACATTCACATACACACACTTAAAGAAGCACGTACACACATACACACCTAAACAAACACACACTTGAGCAGACACATACACACTTGAACAAACTCACACACACACACACATACAAACACACGTACAAACACACACACCAAAACATACAGATACGTTTTCTTCATGAGTACACTATATCCCAAAAATGCTCTGCAAATCTGCATTGAGAAATGCCCTAACAAAAAACTAACCACTGAGCAAGACATTGTTGATTTCTACAATACTGAAAAAGTATTCTTCTTTAGGCCTCTTTTTATTTGTTATTATTATTATTGTTGTTGTTGTTGTTACTGTTGTTGTTGTTATTGTTGTTGTTACTGTTGTTGTCGTTGTTGTTTCAATTTCGATTGATATAAATAGATTATCATATATATATATATATATATATATATATATATATATATATATATATATATATATATATATATATATAATATAAATAAATTTGGTAAATTGAAATGTACTTAGCTACTTGAACTTTGGTCACACTTTTGTCGTAGTAATAAAAGATGGGAGAGTTTCTTTTGGATTGGTAACAGAGAGAATGCAGTTTCTATGCGAATATATGGGTCCTGTTTGTTGTTGTCCTTTGGTGAAAAATATTATTTCCCAATTGTTTTTCCACTTAATTATTAACTCAGATAGCAGATTGATCGTTTAATCTAATCCACTATGCGTTGAAAACACAATATAACAAAAGTTATAGTACTTCAGTAAGCATCTCTTTGTGAGAGACACCGGGTCGACTTTGAATATTATTACCTTATTCACTCTAATGACATTCCTCAGAGGATTGTACCGTGATTAAATGCTTTGTCGAACAAATAACTTTTTAACTCTCTTCTGAAATCTGAATAATAATATCGATTTAAAATCCCAATCTTCTGGGCCTGACTTCTACAACTCGCGCGTTGTAGAAGAGCTGTTACATAAGAAACATAATATAACGAGGGGTATAATGGTTCAGTAGAGAGCTTATTATTGGTCCAGTGGCTCTCTTTGTGAGAATCTCTCGACCAATTTTGCACCTATAATATGGATTTAAAAGTGTAAGAAGATTGAAACTGTGGCATTGTGGAATGTAGAAGTTGTGATGTTTTTTTCTTCTTCATATTGTGGTAGGTAAGTCTTTGTGATTATGGTGTTGTTCCGAAAATCGGGGAGAAGTTTAGAAGAGAAGGACCCTGCCCCGAGTTGCCTATCTATAAGAGGTTGGGGAGTGAGTGAGTGAGTGAGTGAGTGAGTGAGTGAGTGAGTGAGTGAGTGAGTGAGTGAGTGAGTGAGTGAGTGAGTGAGTGGGTGAGTGGATGAATGTGTGAATGAATGAATATGTGTATGAATGTATGGATGATTGAATATGTGAATGAATGTTCGAATGAATGTGCGAATGAAGGAATGGGTGAATGAATGAATGATTGAATGTGTGAATGAATGTGTGAATGAATGGGTGATAGATGAGATAGTACTTAGGTGAATGAATAAATGAAATAAATTTTTATCTAGCCTATTGATAAACTAAAATGACTGGGTGAACAGGCTTTGAGAATTATGATGAAGACGATTATCATTATATAGATAATTATATCATTATTTTTAATAATAATAATAATAACAAAAATTATTATGATGATGATTATTATTAAGTAATTGTTACGCAATTTATAACAATTCTACCCCAAGGTTCAATCATTTTGATGATGAATGCGTTTAACATTAACCACAGAAATCTAACAACAACAACAATAATAATTATACCAATAATTATGATAATAATAATAATTATAATAATAATAATTATTATTATTGATGATGATTCGTATAACAGCATCCCAATAATGTCCCGCTGCGTTCCGGATCCTTCTTCCTTCGTGAACAAAAATAGCTCGGCCGCCAAGTACTCCAACATTACCAATAGCTTTAAAGAGGTTTGTATCTGTGTGTATGTATATATATATATATGTGTGTTCGTGTGTGTACGTGTTTGTGTGCGGGTGTTTGTATGTGTTTATTGGTTGTATGTGTGTGTGTGTGTGTGTGTGTGTATTTATGAATGTGTGTTTGTTTGATTGTATGTGTGTGTTTGTGTGTGGGTGTTTATGAACATTACTTTTGATTGTATGTATTATTTATTATTATTGTTATTATTTGTATTATTATTATTGTTGTTTATTGTAGATTTTTCAGTTGGATGATTTCATGACGAAGACTCTGAACGACCTCTCACTATGCTGGAGGGAGCTTATTGGTTTGACTGTGATTGCCGTTGGTAAGTTGAACTCGTTTGTATGTTTGTATGTATCTATGTTTGTTTTTTTTATATCTATGTTTGTTTTTGTATGTATGCTTGTATGTATGTATGTATGTATGTGTGTATGTTTGTTTGTTTGTTTCTATGTATTTATGTTTGTTTGTTTGTTTGCATGTATGTATGTATGTTTGTTTGTAAGTATGTATGTTTGTTTGTATGTATGTTTGTATATTTATGTTGTTGGTTCTGTTGGCGTCACAACAGCCCCACAACAACAACAACAACTATACTACATACATACCATAACCAGAGAAATCACTGCATCAAAACTGACATAACTGTTACATCAACAACGGCATAAATGATGTCATCACATCAACAACATTAACAACAACAACAAAATAATGCTATCACATCACATCAACAACATTAGCAACAACAACAACAATATCCACATTCACATGACTCAAATATAATGGCTCTTTTTTTAGCAATTTTTTTTCACTGTGGGATTTCATTTGAATAATTCTGTATCACGTGTGCTTGCCTGTTTAGGGTGTATTTGCTTAATTTTATTATTATTATTATTGTTGTTGTTGTTATTATTATTATTGTTATTGCAAAATTTGCATTTGATGTGTTTATCTCTCCTCTAACAAGCCATTGTATAGTGTTTTTGTTTCTTAGCTTGTAGCTTGAATTTTATAACCTCATTGAAAGCATTTAATCTCGAATTAAATTTAATTATTTATAAATAGTTATGACAATAATAATTATTATTATAATTATGGTTATTATTATTGTTTTATTGTTTTCTGTCGTAATAATAATTTATGATTTTTACAGTGATTGCATTCTTGATGGTGGTGCTAATGAGGTTTCTGGCTGCTGTCATAGTTTGGGTCATTGTGGTTCTCTCTGTGGTCGGAAGCATCGGTGGGTTTGTGTGTGTGTATGTGTGTGTGTGTGAGAGAGAGAGTATGTGTGAGTATTGTGTATGTACGAAGTTCATGTTTGCCTCTGGACGGTTTAATATTTAACACGTAACAGCAGCTTGATATATTGATTCTTTCATTTTTTTTATTTTTTACAAGTTTCATGTTTGCATGTACTGTGTATGTATGTTTGTGCTTACGTTTCTGATGTGTATTATGGTGAAATTGGTGATGATGAACTGAATGAATGGATGAATGAATGAATGAATGAACGAATGAATGAAGGAATGAATGAAGGAATGAATGAATGTATGAATGAATGAATGAATGGACGGACGGACGAATGAATGAATTGGTTAAAGAATGAAAAAATGAGAAAACGAACGAACGAATGAATGAATGAATGACATTAATGACAACAAGAATTATAGCAAGAGTACGTAATGATGAATAATACTTACTCATAGTAGCGTTTGGATTATTATCCTTCCATTGAAATACAGTCGGGTCAGTTTTCCTCTGGTGGTGCTTTGTGGTGCACTTGAAAGCAGAGGAACAGGAAGAGTTTTTGGTGCCCCTGGTGGGTTCGTCCTTGAAGAAAAAATGGACATTCCTCATTTTTGCCATTGTGGCCAGTGTTCTTACTGTAAGTTTTTGTGTCTGTATGTCAGTCTGTGTGTGCGTGTGTGTGTGTTTGTTTGCGTGCGTACGTGTCTGTGTGCAGTCATCATTTTCATCATCATTTTAGTGGTCATCATCATTATTATTATTATGATTGTTATTATTATTCACAGTAGTCATAATTACCATTCACGAATTTGCTGCCAGTCTATCATCATAATTCAAATAGCAGCTGTCTTGTCGGCATCGGCCACACAACTTTATCTCTAGTTTTTAAACTATAGATAGTATTGTTGATGTATTAAACTCTCCCTCCCTCCTTTTCTCTCTCTCTCTCTCTCTCTCTCTCTCTCTCTCTCTCTTTCTCTCTCTCTCTCTCTCTCCTACTCACACACACGCGCGCACACAGGTTATCCTGCTACTGATGCTGCTGATAATGAGGAAGAGGATCTCATTGGTCGTGGCTCTCTTCCATGAAGCTGGTGAGTGATTGAGCGAACATTAGTGGAGAAATGAATGGATGGATGGATGGATGGATGGGATGGATGGATTGGAGGGATGGAGGGATGGATGGATGAATAAAATAATTAATTAAGGAGAGGAATTTACGAGAGAGTGAATGAATAAATGAATTAATAAACGAGTGAATGATTAAATGAATAAAGGAACGAACGAATGAATGAATGAACGATCGATCGGCTAAATAAACGAGTAAATGATATCAGTAGAGTTTAAACATCATACAGCAGCAAGCATCAGTAACAACGTTAAAAACGAATCAATCTATTGATCTTGCAAATTGATAAAGGCTTTCTTTCTTAAGATTGCGTTATCAGTGTTTTTTCATTCATTCATTTGTTTGTTTTTTAACTTATTCACTCATTCGTTCATTCATTCACTCATTCATTCATTTTTTTACCTTATCTCTTCAATCAATCATTTTATTCATTTTTTTTTCAGGAAAATGCTTGGCTGACGTCCCAATGCTACTGATTCAGCCGATTTGGACCTTTTTGTTCTGCCTAGTAGCAGCACTATACTTCATATTTATACTGTCTTGTATCTCTACTATGGGTGGGTCTCTTTGTTTATTCATTCATTCATTCATTCACTCAGTCGTTCATTCAGTCGTTCTTTCATTTGTTCATTCATTCACTCATTCATTCACTCATTCATTCATTCATCTATTTCGATAGTTACCGAAATGTTGAAATGTTTGATAAACATTTCTCGCCATGTAATTAATGGTTATCCATTTAGCATTTAGCATTCATCTATTTCGATATTTATGCTCTGCTTTATGGCAGAAATATACTTCACGATTTTGTCGTTTGGTTCATCCATTCGTTCATTCATTTATTCGTTCATTCTTTCGTTCATGCATTCTTTCATTTAGTAACTGGTTCATTCATTCGTTCTTTCTTTCATGAAGTGTTTGCAGGCTCAGCCTAGTTGATTGATTAAATGTTTGACGCGTTTTTTTTATTTAACTTTTTTCCTTTATTCATTTATCCAATTACTCGTTCTTTCATTCAGTCATTCATTCATTCACTCTATTGTTCTTTTATTCGTTCATTTGTGTTGACTTTTTGGTTTAGTTCATTTTATTCAATCCTATAGGAGTTCCCGAGGCAAGATTTAAGAATAATATCTATAAGGCGAGTGAACTAATGAATGAATGAATGAATAAACGAATGAACAAATAAATGAATTGTTTAAAGGTGAAATTCCAAAAGAACACTTTTGAAAAGCAATTTTGGTGGATCCATCTGATCGGTTGGATTTGGACCACTGAATTCACCCTGGCCTGCCAGGAGTTTGTCATTACAAGCACAGTGGCTATTTGGTACTTTACCACGTTAGTTTTAAGATTCTTTTCCATTCATTCGTTCGCTCCATTCATCCATTAATTCATCGAATTGTTCATCCATCCATTTATTCAAATTTGTTATACCCGAGGCGTGGTTTAACGTTTTGATATGGATTTTTTTTTGATCGTTTAGAGTGGTTCTTCTTCTCAAAATTACAAATTTTTGTTGCGGTATCATCTATCATTTGAAGCACCAAGGAACAATTATAATAATAGTGAATAATTTGTTTTTAATTTCGCCACACCAAAGAAATAAAAAGCGTTTGGGAAGCCCAATCTGCAAATCGATGTCTATGCTTATTTTGCACCATCTTGGTTCAATTGCTCTCGGCTCTATGGTCATAGCTATTGTAAAGATTATCAGATATATCCTCATGTACATCGAATCTAAGTGAGTTGTGTGTGTGTGTGTGTGTGCGTGTGTGTGTGTATATATTTGTTTGTTCGTGTGTGTGTGTGTGTGTGCGTGTGTTCGTGTGTGTTTGTTTTGATACTTTGATATTTTAATAACTTCTTATTCATATTTTATTTCTTCAAAAAAAAAACTAAGTTGGTTACATGCATGTATGTATACATTTATGTATGAATGAATCGGTGTATGTGCTTGTGTATGTATGGTGTGTTCGTGCGTGTGTGTGTGTGTGTGTGTGGTGTGTATGTGTGGATTTGAGGTAACATGTGGGATTGATTGAATTGAAATATGTGTGCTTGTGTGTGTGTGTTACTTAGCTATAGCTAATCAGGTGTAAACAATTCAGGTGAGTTTTTGTAATAGTTGTAATAATATGTATGTTGCTCATCTACCTATCTGTCTTTTTGTTTGTCTGTTTGTCTGTCTGTCTGTCGGTCTGTCTATTTATTTATTTGTCTGTCTATCTGACTTTTTTTAAAAATTCATTTTAATCAACAAGTACAATTACAGCACGTACGACAACATCAACAACAACACCACTACCAACATTAACGACCATACCAACAACAACATCAACAACACCACTACCAACATTAACGACCACATTAACAACGACAACAACGACAACAACATCATCAACATCAACATCAACGACAGATGCAAAGGCAGTGAGAATGCATGTGCAAGGTGCTGTCTGAAGTGTTGTATCTGCTGTCTCTGGTGTCTGGAGAAGGTCCTCAAGTTTCTCCATCAGAATGCTTACACCATCATTGGTTGGTTATTATTATTATTATTATTATTACTATAATTACTATTTATTATTATTATTATTATTACTATAATTACTATTTATTATTATTATTATTTATTATTATTTTTTTTATTATTATTACTATTTATTATTATTATTATTATTTTTATTTATTTATTTGTTTAATTTTTTTTTCTACAGCTATCGAAGGAACAAGTTTCTGCACTTCAGCTCGTAAGGTAAGATTGCATTCGCGCACGCACACACACACGCACACATCACAAACACGTATACATACATACACAGACATATACATACATACACACACCACACACAGACAGACATACATACTCACATACGTACAACCACACACAAACAAACAAACAAACAGGCTTTTGAGATAATATCAAGCAATGCGCTGAGGGTCCTGGCCATAAATAGTGTCGGAGACTTTGTACTATTCCTTGGAAAAGTTGCAGTTATGTGTCTGACTGGCGTCTTCGCTGTTCTCTGGCTCAGGGTTTGTTGTTGTTGTTGTTGTCGTCGTCGTTGTTGTTGTTGGTGCTGTTGTTGGTGCTGTTGTTGTTGCTGTTGCTATTATTAGATTTACATATATCATACATATATAATACATGCATTCCTATCTACATACATACAGACAATTCCTAGCATCAATTATTTGGCAGTTCCAGTATTTCTCGTTTGCGTGTTCGCGTTCGTCATTGCTCACTGCTTCTTATCAGTATACAAAGTATGTATGTATGTATGTATGTATGTATGTAAGTATGTTTGTATGTATGTTTGTATGTATGTTTGTATGTATGTTTGTATATATGTTTGTATGTATGTTTGTATGTATGTTTGTATGTATGTTTGTATGTATGTATGATGTTTGTATGTATGTTTGTATGTATGTATAATTATATTACAGATGGTTGTGGATGCACTGTTGATTTGTTTCTGCGAAGACTGTCAGAAAAACGACGGGACACCAGGTCGCGAGTACTTCATGAGCCACTCACTGATGGTTCGTTCGTTTGTTTGTCTGTTTTGTTGTTGGGATGGGGCACAAGTTTGTCGTTGTTGTTATTGTTGTTTGTATTATTATTGCTGTTGTTGTTGGTGTTGTTGTTGTTGTTGTCTGGCCACACCTTGGTTTATAAATATCGCGTTATTGTTTCTTTGTTTCATAGCAATTTGTGACGGATTCGAGTGCCAAAATTAGTAACACGGCTGGGGCCGTGGTAGGATCGGGTGATGCCACTGAGGGCACCGTTTTGAAGCCCGCTCTGGGACCGTAGGTTGGTGGGTCTGTTTTTTGATTGGTTGGTTTGTTGGTTGACTGGCTGGCTTGCTGGCTGGCTGGCTGGCTGGTTGGTTGATAAACTGAACAATCAATTGAGTGATTGATTGATTAATTGGTTGGTTGGTTGATGAACTGAACAACCAATTGATTGATTATTCGATTCAATAGACTGAATAAATCGTATTCTTAACAACTTTAAATATAACTTTTTCATTTTCACACACACACACACACACACACACACACACACACACACACACACACACACACACACACACACACACACAGACCACGAAAGAACATTGTAGAAGGCTCTAGAACATTGAGTCCATTAAAAAAATTAATTATGTGGTACGAGAGAGAGAGAGAAAGAAAAAGAGAGGAGACATTTTTTTGTGTATTTAATGTGCTTTTACTTGAATATATATATGATCGAACACAACAATCAATGTCATAATTAAATTATTATGCATACTTTTGCCATAATTACATAATACTTACGAATCATTAGTTTTTCCTTGCTTTTATTATGACTTTATTATGATTTTTGTCGCTTTTTCGTATGCTTTTTTTATTCTCTTTTCTGAAATTACAAACTGGTCTTAATTATATGTTACTACTACTATTACTGCCATTATACATGCATACACATATATATATATAATCTGGAAACAAGATGTAAAAGCTTAATTAATATTAATTAATTATCTAACTAATTAATTAATTAATGTATATTTATTTTATTAGTATACATATATATGACGCACGTTCTATTTGATGTGTCAAAATACTTTTAATGTATTGCCATTAGCATTAAAAATGCAAATAATAATAATATTAATAATAATAATAAAAGTGATGATGATGATGATTAATTAATGTAGATGGTGATGATGATGATGATGGCGATGATAGTAAGAGTAGTAATGATAATGATAGTTACATAGATGGTGGTGATGATGACGATTTAAAACGAGCCGAAAAGTAATAATGATTAAAATTATGATTGCTAATTACGGTTACATGTCTGATTACTGAGTGATTTCATCGCAATCCTCGTCATTCTCAGACATTTACAATGAGGTTAATTGTAGTTTATTATTTATTCATTAATTATAGTTTATTATTTATTTATAATATAATTATTAAAACTGATAATAATAATATTCATATATATATATATATATATATATATATATATATATATATATATATGTATTTACATATATTTAGGATACAGGCTTTACGAAGGTCACAGGATTTTCTGCGTTCCTCCAATGCTGAAAACGCTGTGACCTTCCCAAACAACTGTATACATAACACACACACACACACACACACACACACACACAGATATATATATATATATATATATATATATATATATATATACATATTATACATAAATAGCTATTGCCATTATATTTTTAGAGTCACTATTATTGATTGTTTTGTGCACGTGTATGTGTGTGTGTGTGTGTTATATTTTTTGATAATTATTTATTATATACTCTTCACACGAAGACAATTTTTTGCTACAAGTAAAAGTTTCGATCTTATTGGTGTTTGTGTGTGTCTGAGTTTGTTCTTACTTATTGGTGTTAGTGTGTGTCTCAGTGTGTTCTTTTTGGTGTTTGTGTGTGTCTGAGTGTGCGTGTGGATGTGTTATACGGTTTAATTCATTCAAATTTTGTCAGGCTAGTTTTATCGTTACTACTGCTATTACGCAACAATGTTTCATCTTTCCCCTTCTTAACGCGTATTTGTACATCTATCTATCTGAAAATTATGAAATTTATATTTATTTTATTTTTATTGTTGTTGTTTGTTCTTTCTCTCTATTTTTCAGTGAATAAATAAAAGAATAAAACGAATTTGATGTGGTTTTTTTTTATATTAGAAATTTTTTCTTCAAAAATTCAAAAAGACAGATGTCTCTGATCTATCTATACTATATATATTTATACTATAGATATACAGATACACTTAGCATTGATTTCTATGGCATTCATTATGTGTTTGTTCGTCTTTGTGCGTGCGTGCGTGCGTTTGTTCACGTGCTCGTTCGTGCTAACTTAGGGTGTTTAAAATTATAAACTAGAGAAAATTAATTGAATAACTAGTCAAAGCATTTAATGTATGCAGGCTGATGTTAATAGCATTACGATTGTAGTGACGACAACGATGATGATATGAGTCTCATGATAATGGTCATAGATATCATGATAATGGTGATAGGTATCATGATAATGGTGATAGATATCAACATGATGGTGATGATAGGTATCACGATAGGTATCATCATATCAGATGCCCGCGTCTCATGAAATCTAAATTGATCTCATTCAACGATGGCCTCAAGTCCGGATCGTTTGACCAGCATTTGTTGATCAGAGTCTGCTGGTTTTTATGAAAAAGAAATTATTAATGTAATTATAGTTATAATTATTGTTGTTTATAATTATTATACAATAATTAGGAAATTATTAAAGGAATGGAAGAACGACAACGGGGAAATTTCTCAGAAGATTCATATCTTCTTCATCTTTTATTCAACTTTTTCGATTTTAATTTTTCTTTCTTTCCTCCATATTTTCTCTATTTCCTCAATATCTCTCTTTCTCTCTCTTTCTCTCTCTCTCTCTCTTTCTGTCTTTTATTCTAAAATTCCGTAAAAAACACAACAAACTTTGAACAGGGAATTAATCTTCAAGTGCTTCATAGGTTGTCTAACTCCGATAGTAGCATTTCTCATAAATTTCTCGCTCCTTCTCTCTTTCTCTCTTTCTATCAATCATTCTCTCTATAAAATTCTGTAAAAAGAACGAACCCTAAGTAGAGAATGAGCATTCAAATGTCTCATAGGCTGCCTAACACCGCTTGCCACTTTCCACATCAGCTCATCCACCGTTAAATTTTTCATGGCTAGCTGGCCGCTAATAACCTCGTAAAGAAATGTCCTAAAATGAATGAATGAATGGATGGATGGATGGATGGATGGATGGATGGATGGATGGATGAGTGAATGAATCAATGGATAAATAAGCGAGGAAACGAGTAGTGGATCTACAAAAATTGGTGCTCGAATTTTCAAATTATAAAATACGTAAAACAATAATAATAACTGCAATAACAGCAATATTAACCCAAATGCAAATAGGTCAGTCTGCATGCTAAACTCCTTATCGTCAATATAATCCCATTCATTCTGTGCCGGCTTTATCTAATGTTATTACACAATTTATTTATTATACTTATAATTATTTTTATATATCATTATTATTTTTATTATTATTAATTACCATAATTTAAAAATAAATATCATCTACTTTTTTCAGGATCTCCGGAGCGTAGTAACTCAAGACACCCCGCGAGAAACAGGCAGATTCATTGGGCCTGACCAATTTTATTTTTTTTTTTTAGTAGTATTAGTAGTAGAAGTAGCAGCCACACTTGCAGTGATTATAGCAGCAGTAGTAGCGATAAAAGTAGCAGCAGTGGTAGAGTTAGTAGTAGCAGCTGTAGTGATAACAACAACATTGAGAGCGGTACTACTGGCTGTTACATATTAATATTAGTTGTTGTTATTCAAACAAGAAAAAAGAAATTACTTAGAATGTTTCAGCTGTGGACTGGAATGGTCCAGAAGGGACAACTTGACCTTGGGGTCATAGTAAACGTTTCTAGTGTTGACGGTTCTAACTACAATCTTTTTGGCATGTAGGTAGCCGAGGGCATGAGCCACGTGACCGCAAATACTTAGCCGCAACCGAGTCGGTAGTCGGTCGGTCGTCAAGTGTATTCGCTCGTATACTGACATTCCTTTAAGTTCACTTTTTGTGGTGGTGGTGGTGGTGGTTGGGCGGTTTTGTCGTTTTTGGTCGTTGTTTTAATCCTATTCATTGTCGTTACAAAAATAAAAATAACAATAGAAACAGTAATCGTTATAATCCCCATCATCCTTCTAACGACCATCCCCACCAACCTAGTAACCACGGCCATCAAGTTGGGCCCTGCGGAGGCCCCCATGAATAGGCAGACGTTCTCGTGCCTAATTTTGCTCAGTTTCGTTACCTCCCTTAGGAAGTTAGGGACTCTATTTTCGCTCACCAGTTTGTACTTGTATACGAACACGTTGCCATGCCAACGACCTCTAAAATTATTATTTTATTATTAGTAGTAGTAGTAGCCGTATTAGTAGTAGTAGCAGTAGTTATAATAGTATTGCAGTCAGTATCATCATTATTGTTGTTAGTATTAAATAAGGCGGGAATATCTTTAAGGTCGAAGCTAGAGCAGCGGAAAGACAAACTAATAAATTATATACTCAATATATTAATGAAACATTCTGAATTAAAAGTTAATTTGTAAGTTAATTAGTTAATTAATTAATTAAATAATTGAACCGATAATAAAAAAAATGATTTCTCACTTGTGAATATTAAAGGTCAGACCAGCCCTTACAAGGTCAAGCAGTACAAGGTCACCAACGGGCACGTTCCAATCTAATAATACCCCTTTCATGTACTGGTCGCAATTGCTTTGTGGGATAATAATAAAAATAATGATTATTATTGTTATCATCATCATTATCCTCCTAATCATCATCATCCTTATTATAAATTATAATAATATTATATTGTAATTAATTATAATTAAAGTTAAACAGACTCGAATAGCGAGCAGAGTGATACAGTATCAGATGCGTCAATGCTATCTTTCTCCATGCTACTATTAATCAGGGTGTCTTTACCTTTTAATTGATAATGAAAGGTCAAATGTTAATCATTTTTTATTGTTTAAAATTAATGCAACCTTCACAGTCAAACAGACAGACTGACAGACAGTCTGACAGTAGTATATTTAAAACAATGAAATATCAAATCCGTACTCATCCAAGCATTGGTGTTCTCATCATTGTTCGAGTTGAACGATCCATTCAATTTATAGGCCGCTCTCTTTTTCTTAGCAAAGTTCTCATCGTCAACTAAAGTTTCTTTGGTCACATCAAGTAACTTTTCCGGCGACAACTGCTGACTACTTAAGCTGCTTAAGCTACCGTAGCTGCTGCTATTTGTATTAGTGGTAGTAGTGCTCATGTTTGACGGTGACGTCATATCTTGGGGCGATTTCTGCTCGCAACGATTTGCCAGTCCGAAATTCGGTGGACCGAAATCGTACTTGAATTTGCGCTGTTTCCCCGGCGGGTTAGTTAAGGAGTAATTGAAGCTTGTCGGGCGTCTACATGGCGACGTTTCGGCTGTTGAATCGTGTATGAAGCAGTCACTGCTGCCTGGCGAGGTGCACGCGGATGTGATTCTCGTCGACGAGCAGTTGGTCGAAGCGCTGGACAATCGCTTCGCACGTTCGTTTCGCTGCCACCACATGTTCTCTTGCCAGAAAGGATGCTGATGCTGATGAGGAGGAGAAAGATGCTGCTGATTATGATAGTTATACTGCTGCTGTTGTTGTTGTTTCTGCTGAAGATGATGAAGATGGCGATGGTGGTAGGGTGGGGGGAGGTAGTTGATGGACGTGGTTGAGTCCATTGTGTCGCAATCGGATGATGAGATGTTGCAACTT